ACATGCACCCTGAATCTTATCTCCTTTGTTTAGCTTTTTTCCTGACCATTACCAGTAACAACTTGTAAACAACCACCCTAAACAATGACAAATATCCATAACATTTTGACAGACCAAATAAACCACACAGCCTACTTCTTGGGAAAGTTGGGCTTGTGTTCTTAAGATTACTTCCTGCTGTCTGGGTGTGACTGCATCTTTAGTGGATCCTGTAAAGAAATTGGGTTGTCAAGTCCTGGAAGAGCTAGCTGTGTCATTTGTTGTCCAGTCTTTTCATAATGGGAAACAGCAGACATATTAGCCTGTGAGGCTGGATCATGTCAGCTAGTCATCCTGAAATTGTCCTGAGCAGTTTGCAGTCCAAAGGCGATCTTTAGTTGATTTTCGTCAGCTTAGTGGCATTGTCATAGTCCTGCTGGAATCATTGCTTTGGGGCCTTGTCCTTCTTTTGGAGACTTCAGAGATCACATTAGATCATATTACATTTTTTCCAGGTAGTTCTCTCTTCTTCTTTGGAGCTTATTTGTCCAAAGGTCTTTTAATTCCTCAAGATGGTTCTTTTATTTTCCTGGAAAGACAAAAAACAAAATCTGCCCAAACCCTAACATGGGGGGTTCCCTATTGGCAAGTTATATCTGCTCAAATGAAGATCACTTTTTAGTGATATAAATTAGTTTAGATTGAATTGTCATGATGTTTGATGAACTATCATCTCTGCTAATTAAGAGGATTCTCTTGTTCAAATCTAATCATTATCAATTTTTTATTTATACTTTCTCTTGAAATATTCATTTTATTTTCGAAAGCTGTTCTACTATTGAGAGCAATATGATGTTTTTAAAGTAGGAATTAGGTTCTTTAATTGCTATGAGAAGGAGTTTCTTCAATGATGACAGGAAATGACTGAACCCAATTTGACATAGGGGCTGTGAGAGGCCCCTCAAGGCATTTCTGAATGGTGAAGGGTTACTTCGACTGTCCCTCATTGATTTGCATTCATTGGTGCAATGTCTGCCTTTGCCACACCTTCTGCATAGTCCAGCAGGTAGGGCACTTATGTTGAGATTATTCTTAGAAAAAAAATTGATTGTAATGAATAACTACTAATTTGCATTTCTTATATACTACTTAGTTGCTAATAATAACTTTCAAGGACTAGAAATTAGCATTACATTGTTAAATGAGTTATATGGGTACAGTGCTGGACTCCTGCCTCACCTTGATGGGCAATGTTTTGTTCAAACCAGTGGGAGGCTAGCCCATTTCTGAATGGATATGGAGGAGGAGTGGAAGTCAGGGCTAGATGGGAAGTCACAGGGTACTAGGAGGAGAGTAGAAG